ATCTCCGAGTTGAAAAATATTATATTCATCGGTTGGTAGCATTAGCATTTTGTCTAAAAGAAGAAGGCAAAGAATACTGTACGTAAATCATATTGACGGTGACTCTACTAACAATAATGCATCCAATCTCGAATGGTGTACCCCGAAAGGAAACTCTCAACACGCTGTACACCTAGGTCTTTGGGGTAACTGTCGTCGACGTGCTGTCAAACAGATTTTCGATGATGGCTCTACTCAAGAATTTTCATCCGCATCTGAAGCACGACTTATAACTGGAATTGATGAATCATATGTTGGAAAAGTTTGTGGATATCATTAGATGTAGCGCAATAAACATTGAGATATATTCGTATGTTTTAAATTGCATTATAAATATATTTTTTAATCCCTTAAACTTATTTTATGACCTCTCAACGAGTAGATGCTTTGAGTTCAATGTTAGTAATCCTGTTAAAAAATCATAAATCTTAGTCCATAAATAATTATATATCGTACGCGTCTCGGTGGGTGATCATGTGGAACTCGTGATATTTTAATAAAAGGATTAACTGTCTGATCATTATAGATTTTGCGTGATCTCAAGAGTCAATTTAAAATCTTGCTCAACGAATTCACGTAAACATTACAAAAAAAAAAAAATTAATATAAAAGATCGCTTTATTATAATCAGTTATTGTTTTATTGATGATAAAATCAGGCAGACATTACTATTGTAAATTGATCGACTCTAATGAAGTAACATCTTTACTTGTGGAGAATCCGGAAGCTTGCGCACAAAAGACATCTGTGCAGGTGGTGTGAATTGACTACTTCGATATTTGAAGTCCTTCGCAATCTTTTCAACACGTTCCTGAGTAAGTGAAATTTGTGAGAGAATGTCTCATTATAGGCTCAAGGAAAAGGTGACATTACCTCCAAAGCCATAAAATGGCTGATTGCGAACCCTGCTAATGGGATCGTAGCCTTGTCGACCACTAGTTTGGTTGTGAGAAATGACCAGGAGCGGTATAACCCATCGTACTTCAGATCCATGACGAATGATTCCATTGAATCACCTGGTTATTGTAGAAGCATAATTCAGTAAGTTATAAAAAATAATAAACTCCCTTATTGCGAGCACACATACCCATGTTTAGAAACATGACAGCTTCACCTGGGCCTC